CCCCAGACCCAGGTCAATATACAAGTCAGATCTTACCCACAAATCATGCTGTTGCCAATCCTTTAGAATCTAAAATCTAAAGGTTTATTCATAAAAGGAAAAAGATAGAAATGAGAGTTAGAATTGGTTAAATGGAATCAATTACATACAGTAATGGCAAAGTTCTTGGTTCAGGCTTGCAGCAGCGATGGAATAAACTGCAGGTTCAAATCAAGTCTCTGGAATACATCCCCAGCTGGGATGGGTCCTCAGTCCTTTGTTCAAAGCTTCAGCTTGTAGCAAAGTCCCTCCAGAGGTATGAATCAGGATTGAAGACCCGATGGAGATGAGGCATCAGCCTTATATAGTCTTTTCCAGGTGTAAGAACACCTCTTTGTTCTTACTGTGGAAAATTACAGCAAAATGGAGTCTGGAGTCACATGGGCCAGGTCCTGCATACTTTGCTGAGTCTCAAGGCATATTTGCCTTCTCTCAATGGGTCCATTGTATAGCTGATGGTCCTTAATGGGCCATCAAGCAGGCTAGGCAGAGCTAATCTCAGCTTGTCTGGGATGTCACCCAGCAGCATAGCATAAGTTTGCCATACAGACAGTATAGAGCCAATATTCATAACTTCAACTACAAAAGTGATACACACATATAGACAGCATAATCATAACCAGTAAACCATAACCTTGTCCTAGACACCCCATTTGACCCCCTTTATACAAGATTTGGGTGCCACTACAGGACCTTGGTTGCAACAATGATCTATACGGTCCCAGTTTATGTCAATAACGTCACACCTGGTTGGGGGCTGGAGCAGGCATTCTGGGAGGGGTCAGGGCTGAGGGGTTGCTGAGGGGCCAAGGGTTGGGTGATTGGTAAGAGGCCAGGGAAGGGCCAGGCAGTTGGGAGCCAGGGGGTGGGGGGTGGGGTGGGCTGGGGGTCAGGACCAGGGGCCAGGCAGTTGGGGGTCAGGACCAGGGGGTATATGGGGGGGTGGGCTGGGGGTCAGGACCAGGGGGTCTGTGGGGA